ATTGCTTTGTAAATCTTTATGCAGGAAAAGTCATGAAATATTGAGATATAGTAACTTAATATGTCATCATTGATCTATTTTTAATTGAGTTAATAGTATTTAATTGTTTTAATGTAATATTTCGAAAACTAAAGTCAATTGTATCAAATATATACACATAAAAAAAAAAATATTCAAAATCTTGTCCTATTTCCATTCTAATCCATATTTAAAAATCATCAAAACGAAAGTATCATAACCATCGATAATTTCATCTAGGATATCTCTTCATTGTATAATATAATCCACTCCTTTCATCAGATGCAACCAATATGGCATCAAATTAAGCTGTGAAATAAACACTAATAACTTTCAATACAATAATTTTCTATCATTAAAATTATATCTTTCCTTGAAATGAAAAGTTTCCTGTATTAAAACGAAATCTAATATCTTCTTACTTAAAAACCAGTTGATACGAGAAAATGTTTAAAAGAAGATCGGAATTGATAACAAAATAAACAGAGGAAAGAGAACATACCTATACGAAGGATGTATAGCAAAAGAATGTAAATAAATGCGCACAACGTCGAAGAATAAATTAAAAAAAAAAAAAAATATTGCGAAAAATATCAAGGAGAGATGAAAAAAAAGAAGAAGAGAAGGGAAGCAACAGCGAGACCACCACGAGTGTGCGGTGCAGATGTTGACACACGGTCTGTCGTTGAACGAGAGATATACTATGTATACATATATGTGTGTGGAGGAACGAGAGCTGATACACCCAGAAGCAGCTTGTTTAAAGGAGGAGGAATAGGTGAGATAAATAAGGGAGAGGAGGAGTGGTGGCGTGTGCAAGTGGAACGAGCGGATGGAACGACAAAGAAGGGACAGAGGGACTGTAAAGTCGATAGAGTAGAGAGCATCGGTAGGGAAGAGGCGTGGAATGAAGACACGCAGATGAGAGGGAAGGGAGGGGAGAGAGAACAATGCTATGAGATAAAAAAAGATGAAAACGAAATAGCAGAAGAGAAGGGGGAGGAATATGATATGGAGAGACGATGGAAAAATTGCGTGTACCAAGGATAGAGCGCGATAGCGGTCGTGTATTCTGTTGCAGAGAAGGTGACAGAGATAATGGGCATGAGGAAGAGGAGAACGAGAGTAAAAATGAGTGAAAGACAGTGGAAAAGCCTGCGAATTGTAAAGACAGGCGCGGTGGTATACAAAGAGCTAGCTGCCAGAGAGAGAACTGACACTCTTAAGAAGGATGGACGGGAAAGACAATGCGACGCATGTGGGAGAAAGATGGACGAATGTACATATGATGGGCGAGAGAGAAAGAAGAAACGGGGGGAGGAAACTGGAGGAGGAAGTTCAAGAGATAGATGAAAAATAGAAAGGAGAGGAGGGAAGGGAGAGAAAGAGAGAAAGTCTGATGGAATTGTTAAAAAGGATATAGAAAGGACTGGAAACAAAGGGGGGTGTATGCAAAGGATTTGGAAAAAAAAAAATGGAAAAAATGGAGGAGAATGAAAAAAAGACAAAGGAAAAAAAATATTGAGAGGAGAGAACGAGTAGGAATGGGTAAGATAGTTTAATTCATTGCCTCGAGCAGAGTCTCTGTTCTAAGATACGAGTTGTTACAGTTAAGGGAATGGGAGTTGATTAAGAGGGAAGATCAGGTAATGAAATGAATAATAAAAAAGGCTGCCGCTAAGTGAATATCAATGATACAAAATAGCTGGATTGTCGGAGAAAGAATCGTTCCGTTAATTGAATACTACTCTGATTCGGTGTACATTTGAAACGAAGTAAAAACTTTTCCGTAAAAGTGGGCAAGACTGAAAGACAATGGTGGCGGTGAAAAAGGAGTTTTCGGGAATATGAGCGCAATCAAAATTCAGCGTGAGCGTAAATTTGTAAAGACACGAACGAGCGAAATCGTTCTGTATGCCGTGGTGTGCAGCGACTGCTTCTTCGGGAAATAATTGAATAATTCATTTCATAAACTACTAAATTTGAATAATTTCCCCTATTCGTACAATTCCCTCACCTTGCTCGTAATATACGTATAAAAGGATACTTGTTAGCAAGAGGGGGGAAAATTAAAAAATTAAAATCAAGAAGAATGGAAAGAGTAGTACAAAGGAAAAAAAAAATGTATAACGAACAAAAAATTAACCTTATTTCAAATATTCCTTTTAACCTAGTTAAAGGAAATTATATAATCAAGTACCCGATATGACTACTCATAACTATAGCAGCTAACCCTCAAGAACAATGTTCCCTAACTTACGTAGAAAATTCTATTTTTTCTCTCTTTCTCTCTGCTTTTTATTCCATTATTGCTTCGACGTGACTCGAAGAGTCTTTTGTATCAAGATCAAGTAGAATTTATCTATGTTACCGTTAGAATTGATAATCGACTTAATTTTTAACTAGATATCACCAAACTCATATACCTAGTGTAAGATACGAAAAAGACATGCATCCTTGTTTTTGGTTCAAGAATAAAGTTACGATTATAATATTTAATAGTAACCAATGATATGTGATCCTCTTTCTTTCCATCATATATATACGAAAGAGCATAAAATAATTTGCATGCACACATTTCAAACGCATATATTGATATATCAGAAGTTCAATACCTCGTGATCATGGGTCCAATAAATGGCAGTTGGTGGTTCAGGACTGTGACGTACCACGCAAGTGAGATTCATCGTACTGTCCTTGTCTATGAACATTTCTGATTTCCCAACGATCGACGTTATCGGCTCTGCAAAATAAATGAGAATGTATCGAATATGAATAATAATCAAGTATTATTTTTTGAAAATGAAAAGAAATAAAATAAAAAGAAAGCATAAAATATACATCCATCATGTTCTTTATTACAATCAGATTCACGTAATGAAAATAAACACGAATTGACTATGA